CAAGGGCACGCTGACTACTTGGAAGGAGCCAACTAGCCCAGAGAATATCCTTCCGCCTCCGCCAATCTGAGACCGTCGGCGGTGTGGAAGGACCCAGGCCACGCCAGCAGAATACCCTTGGCCGAACGGCCAGAGGGATCGCGGCATAGCTCTCCCCGCCCTCGTCCAACCGCCAGCGATCCTAGCGAGTGGCTGACGGAGAAGTGGAGGGGAGGAGGTCGGGCCAAACTGTCCCATCGGGGATGGCGAGCCGCCCTGCGCGCCAGTGCAGATCGCACACCGCGACGCAAGAAGAAGAATGAGCGGTGACAACGTGCGCGCCGCGAGCCCGCGCCTCGCGAGCGCCGCATGCCCTTCTCGCGGGGCTGCAGCCGGAGCGGCGGCAGCGGCCGCAGTGGCTGGCGACGCGAGCGCAGGCCTCGGGGGGAGCCGCGGGCGGGCCCTGGGAGAGACCCCGCGCGCGCTCCTCCGCCCGCGCCCCCCGGCCGTGGGCCAGGGCGCGCCGCGCACCGCGACCGCGACCGCGCCCGCCGAGGGCTCCGCTGAAGGTCCGGGCGCGCGCCAGGCCCGCCGGGCCCCACCAGGTGTGCCGCGAGGGACCCGACGCGGCAGCCTCCGAGGAGGCCGCGGGCGGCGGCGTGGCGCCGCGCAGGGCCTCGGCCGTGGAAAAGGCGGCAGGGGGGCCACCCCGCTGCTCGGATCCACCGCCGGCCCAGGGCAAGCGGTGGGGCAGGCCGCAGCCCGACGGGCAGGGGGGCAGTGCCCCCCCGCCACCCGAGTCGGACTGAGCGGGCCACGGGGCCCCCGCGGAGGGAACGCCGAGGTTCGCAAGTTGAGGGAGCGGTTGGCCCACGAGCCGCTCGTAGAGCGCGGCTCGCAGGCCCTGGAACAGCAGCGGCCCAGCCCCCTCGAGGGCAGCCTGGGCGATCGCCCGCATACAGGCCCGCCCTGGGAAGCCACGCGAAGGTTCGGACCGAGACGCTGCAGAAACCACGACCGGCGCGAAGGGGGGAAATTAAGAGAGATATCATCACCATCATCATCGTCCTCATCCTCATCCTCATCATCATCATCATCATCATCATCATCATCATCATCATCATCATCATCATCATCATCATCACCACCATGATCATCACCACCATGATCATTATGATCATCATCATCATCAGCAGCATCATCATCACCATCATCATCAGCATCATCATCAGCATCATCATCATCATCATCATCATCATCACCATCATCATCATCATCAGCATCACCATCATCATCATCACCACCACCATAATCATCATCATCATCATCATCATCAGCAGCAGCAGCAGCAGCAGCATCGTCACCACCACCATCATGACCATCATCATCAGCAGCAGCATCAGCAGCAGCATCATCCTCATCATCATCAGCATAACCATGATCATCATCATCAGCATCATAATCATCAGCATCATCATCAGCATCATCATCGTCGGCATCATCATCATCATCATCAGCAGCATCATCATCATCATCATCATCATCAATATCATCATCATCATCATCATCATCGTCATCACCACCATCATCATCACCATCACCGTCATCATCATCATCAGCATCATCATCCTCAGCATCACAATCAGTGTCGTCATCATCGTCATCATCATGAGTACCATCATCAGCATAATATGCATCATCACCATCACCTTCATCATCCTCATCCTCATCCTCATCCTCATCATCATCGTCATCATCATCGTCATCGGCATCGGCATCATCATCATCATCATCATCAGTATCGTCATTGCAATCTCCATCATTACCATCACCGTCACCATCACCACCATCATCATTTTTCAGCATGTACGCCGTGCTGTGTGGTTTGGGCTACGAAGTGCCACGCGTCTACGTGTGCACAGTGTCCAGTTTATACATCGGTCAGCGTGCACACGTCAAGTGCGACGTGCCAAGACGAGAGTTCGGCATTTCAAAAGGGACCCAACAAGGCGACCCTATCAGCTCCATCCTGTGTTATTGTGTACTCGAGGAGGTGGTGCGGAAGGTCGAAGCAAAATGGGCTTCGAAAGGGTATGGCAGGCAGCTCGGCTACACGAGATACACAATGTCGACTAATATGAAGTTCGCGGACGGCATTCTCTTGGTAGGGCGTTCACTACCGCAAATCAAGCAGATGATATTGGACGTGCAGCGAGAAAGCGAGAAGGTCGGTTTGAAGCTCCACCCGGACAAGATGAATTTTCAACACAACAGCATTGACAACGGAAGTGAGGTTCGATCAGCATTGGTTGGGGGCATGAATATTGAGGTGCTGGAGCATTCGTTACCAAACATGTGTTTGGGTACAGCTTTATCCCTGACGCATGTCCACCACGCTGAGCTCACGCACAGGATGAAGAAGGCATGGTCGAAGTTAGGATCATTGAAACGGGAACTAACGGACAAGGCCATACCAATTAATCTGATAATGAAATTGTTCCATTGCGTTGTAACACCGACAGCATTGCACGGAAGTGGGAGCTGGGTGATGACTGCTGAGAGGGAGTCCAAATTGCGGGGAGCGCACATGAAAATGGTCAGAAGTACCCTCGGACGGCGACGCACTGTTACGACAGACGGGGAGGTCGAGACATGGGTGACAATTGGGTGCAACGCGCTACTTTGGAAGCACGGCAAATCGTGGATGACATAGGTATGCCGCACTGGATGAGACGAGCGGCGCTCCAGACTGCGAGATTGGAGCGAGTGGCCGAAACACATGAACTCGGAACGATGGGCTTGGGGAACTCCACGAACGGATGCCGGACGGGCGCAGAGGCCACGGCCGCCCTCCGGCGCGGTGGGCAGGCCCAGGCCCGCCGAGCCCTTGGGGCACGCAGCCGCGCGCGAGCACGGCTCGTGCCCAGCGTCAGGGCCGAACCTGAACGGTGTTGTTCGTTTTCGGTTTGTCTTCGTTCTCCCTCGTTGTGTCTTCGATCCGCCGTTCCAGCTAAACGACATGGAAACGACAGCGGCCCACGAAATCGCCAAAACACCGTTCAGGTCCAGCCCTGCTCAGCGTCCCTTCCCTTCCCCCTCTGATAGACGAGGGGGAGGCGCTATCAAGGAGGGCTTCGCCACAAGAGCCATCGTGAAACTCACGAGCCCCGTTCAGAACAAGCCCCACGACACGGGGATACACAGAGACATGAGCGCTGGCAGTCACTGCAGGGACGGGGACAAGATGGTCTACGCGCTAGGCCCTTCTGGATGCATCGATTCGCTGCTGTCCGCCCACGACCACGACGAGGTGCACGGGGACCAGATACCGTTGGGCCAGCGGCCCATGCCATGCTCCTACGCAGAACTGCTACGAAGGCAGGAGGACGCGCAAACCGGCAGCGACGAGTGCTCAGATGGTGCCGAGGACGACAATGCCTACTCCAACGAAGGCATATGGAAAGCCCAATACTGAGTCCTGGCTAGCGACGACTCTGGGGCGTCCCCAGAAGCTGAGCTTGAGTAGAAGCCGAGCTTGAGTAGACTGGCCAGCCTGAAGCCAGACGACTGCGTGAACCTAAGGCCGCTGCGTGTTGCCATCTCTGGGTTCGCTTGGACTCCCAACAGTGCGTTTTTTTATTTCTGCCTCCTCGTGCAGGCACTGCTTGGAGGCGAGCCCTCGAGGTCCTATAGGGGAGGGGGACCTCAGTACCCTCCCCCGGGGTGCTGGGCACCGGAGCCCCGCGACAGGGCCCTGGCGAACCACCAGCACGGCTAGGACCAGCACAACTCGGCTCACGCTTCCGCTCTCCCTTTCCTCCGCATTGTACGATTACAACTGTGGTGTACCCCTCCCCCCGCTTCCCCCCCCCCCCCTGGAAAATACCGCCCCCGGCATGCGAGGGTAGCGTTAAGTCGGGCCTGTCCCCCTACGGGGGGATTTTCAACGACAAATAAAAAATACGCCAAACAGAATCAAAAAATAGTCCAAAAATAGTCTGGGGACTATTTCTTACAATTTTTTGACCTCTCTGGCGTATTTTTTGAGTACTTTTTGTTTTTCGTCGAAAATCCTTCTGTAGGGGGACAGGCCCGACATAAGGGTAGCGCTGCTCTGGCTGGTCGGGCGCCCCGCGGCGCGCGTCGGCTGCGGCGGTGGGTCAGGGATGGCCGCGATTGCGCTCTGCGCAGCAGGAGGCGGAGGATAGAAGTAGACTTATGTCGGGCCTGTCCCTCTACAGGGGGATTTTGGACGAAAAATCAAAAATACCCCAAAACTACCCCAAAATTGTCAAACAATACTCCAAAAATAGTCCCCAGACTGTTCTTACTATTTTTGAATATTCCCCCGTTAGAGGGACAGGCCCGACTTGGAAGTAGACGAAGAACACACCACGTAAACATAAACTGTTGGCGCTCCGCGCGGATTCCTTGGATTCGCGCTGGAACCCCCTCCCTGGCGCGCGGAGCGCGCCAGGGGCGGCGCCGGAGGCGCCGCCGGGGGGCCCAGGCGCGGATCCAAGACATCCGCGCGGAGCGCCAAAAGTTTCTGTTCATGTGGCTTTTCCTTCTTCTTCGAGAGGAGGGGGAAGGAAGAAGAGTTATGTTGCTCCCATCGTACTTCAGGACCACATCCCAGAAATAATTTCGAACACCAGGAAAAGTGTCGAAACAGTGTCGAGACAGTGTCGCAACAGTGTCGGACGAGCGTCTCCCAGACCCCCCGACGCGTGAAACCCTTCCGGTTTCGGTAGTTCTTCCATCTCTGCTCGGAACTCCTTCTGATGATCAAGGCTACACTAGGTCGGAACATCATAAGATCGGCGGTGGACAATTAGTAAACCTCCCTTTAGTGAAAGCGGCCTGGGACCGAAACCTACGGAGCTAGACCCGCAAAAATGACAGCCGCGACGCCCTCTCGCGCACCGAAAACGGCCAATTCCTTAATCGACGTGTCAGGGTAGGAGGACTACCCACCTCCGATAAGAGAAGACGAGAAGACAAGGCCTTCCCCCCCCGACCGCTCGCGTTCCCCGCCGCCCAGGTTCGTGAACACGAGGCCCACCAGCTGCGCGATGCGCGCGCCGGCGCCGCCGTGGGCGACTGCCTCCCCGCCCGGCGGCGTCCGGGGCGCCGGCGGCGTCCTGCGGCGTGCAGCGCGAGGAGGGGCTCCAGGTGAGAATGAAGACGGGCTTGTCCCCCCACAGGGGGATTTTCGACGAAAAATAACAAATACCCAAAAAAACTCCAAAATGGTCCCCCCCAAAAAATACACCAAAAATGGTCCCCAGACTCTTTTTTAAAAAAAAAAAAAAATATTTTGGAATATTCCCCCTGTAGAGGGACAGGCCCGACTGAAGGCGAGAAGCGAACGTCCAAGACTTGGAGGCTTCGACATTGGCACCCGCACCAAAAGGGGGGGGGGTGCGCCCCCACTGGGGGAGGAGGATCCTAGATATAAGATTTCGGTGCTTGTGGTCATCTTATTTCGGCCACCCTGGGAGCCAGAGTAAGGCCACCATCGCCGAAGTCGGAATATTCTTCCCTCGGCGGAGGCACCCTCCCCCTCCCCCTCCCCCTCCCCCTCCCCCTCCCCCTGCTCCTCCTCCTCCTCCTCCTCCTCCTCCTCCTCCTCCTGCTCCTCCTCCTCCTCCGCCTCCTCCTCCTCCTCCCGCCGATATTGGTGCTGGTGTCAACCTCCGGGCCTGCGATTAAGACAGCTCGGGCGGGTGCGGGTGGCAGCGGCTGCACGAGACGGCTCCGCGGCGGCCCCAGGCAGCCCGAAGCCGCCAAGAAGCGTCCAAGAAGCCCCTGGCGCTCTTCTTCGGCGCCGTCCACCTCAGACCTCACGTCGCGACAACAACAGAAAACGACGGGCAGCTCTAGGCAATGTTTGCCCCCCATTGGGGGCTCTTGCGGGGCCCCGAAGTGTCGTCAGAAGACTACCCAGGCATGGCCCTGGGCAAGAAGTGGCCTTCCCAGGCATCCCACTGACTTCGGATCCGCCAGACTTTGGTGGAATTTCCTGCTTAAAACTGTATCAGAATACGCCCCAAGCGATGCGGACAGATCGGGCGGAATTTTCCGTCTCAAGGAACATGATCGACCCACGAAACCTTGAAAATAAGTCAGAAACGCGAGAAACCCGATTGGGCGACAAGCAATTTCGATGCTGAAGCTCTCGATCGAGATGACCCATGTCAAGGACTGTGCTGTGCTGTGCTGTGCTGGAATGAGATGGGTCATGCCGCGATTAAGTTCGTTGTGCTCCGTAATTTTGTTGTAGATCAAGTCGCCCTCCGCATCCGGATCCTGACCAAACCGATCTCGATCTCAAGCTCGAGCTACCTGGGCGCATAGCTGGCCCAGAGCTGGTTGCATTCGAAGCGTGCCGGAAACTCAATGAGCTCGAGCTTGAGATCCGACTCAGTTCCGAAGCGGGACGAGACGAAAAACGGGGAGCAGGGCGCAGGGTCGCGCCACGGAATGAGCCAGGGGCGCACTCGAGGACGGGCAGGGGAACATGGCAAGGGACGCGCCACGCAACGGGCAGGGGTAGCGCAAGGGATAAGCCAGGGAACGCGACAGAGGACGAGTCAGGGGACGCGCCGAGAGGAAAGAGCATACGCCGTCTCGCTCCGGGGCGCCAGGAACCCAGGCGATTTCTCACGCTTGTCCCGCTCTGGTTCTCTAGAAACCTACGTGCTGTCATGCTTGTCCCGCTCGAAGGCGTTGGGAACCCACATGATGTCACGCTTGTCCCGCCCTGGGGCGCTAGGAACCCACGTGTGTTCAAACCTGTCCCGCTCTGAGGCGTTAGGAACCCGCGTTGTCTCACGCCTGTCCCCAGCCCCTCAAATTTTGCGAAACAAGCGCGGGGCTCGAGACATCCTCGAGAAACCTGCGCGCATCGCGCGCCATCCCCGAGCGGGCACGCAGACAGCGAACGGTTGCCCAAGCTCTGCACACCTGCGGGGCCTCCACAACACCTGTGAGGCATCGCGGACTCTCGGCAAAACGCCTCGGCACCCCCGTGCGCACCAGGGTCCACAGGGGGCCTGCGGACCCCATGACTCCCAGAGGGCACGGCGTGCAGTCACGCTCGTGTCCCGCCCTGGGCCGTCGGGAGCCCGCGGGCTCTCACCCCACGCGTCCAGCTCCACGCGTGCTTCACGCGTGCTTCACGCGTCTGTCCCGCTCCGGGGGGCACTATTGGGACCCACGTGCTCTCGCGCGCGCGTCCCGCTCTGGGGCGTCAGGGGCCCACGCGAGTTCAAGCCTGAACCCACGTGTTTTCACGGCTGTCCCGCCCTGGGGCGCCAGGGCCCACGTGTGTGCACACTTGTCCCGCTCTGGGACGTCAGGAACTCACGTATGGTCACGCGTGTCGCGCTCTGCGGCTTCGGGGGCCCATGTGCTTTCACGCTTCTCCCGCTCTGGGGCGTTGGGAACCCACGTGTTTTCAACCTTGTCCCGCTCGGGGGCGTTAGGACCCCATGTGTGTTCACCCTTGTCCCGCCCTGGGACGTTAGGAGCCCCTATACTTTCTTGCTTGCCCCGCTCTGGGGCTTTTGTGCCTCACGACTTTTTACGCTTGTCCTGCTCTGGGTCGTTTGGAACCCATGCTTTTTCACGCCTGTCCCGCTCTGGGGCGACTTGTCCCGCCCTGGGGCTTTAAGAACCAACGTGTTGTCACACTTGTCCAACTCTGGGGAGTCAAGAACCTAAGTGTTTTCACGCTTGTCCTGTTCTGGGGAGTTGAGAACCCACGGGTTCTTACGCTTGTCCCGCTCTGGGATGGTAGGGATCTAAATGTTTTCACGCTTGACCCGCCCTGGGGCGTTCGGAAACTGGGGTGTCCTGCGCTTGTCCCGCTCTGGGGCGCTAGGAAACCAGGCAATTTCACGCTTGTCCCGCTCTGGGGCGTTAGGAACCCAAATGCTTTCACCCTTGTCCCGCTCCGGGGCGTTAGGAACAATGCGTTTTCACATTTGTCCCGCTCTGGGGCTGTTGTGCCTCACGAATTTTCACGCTTGTCCCACACTGGGACATTAGGAACCTAAGTGCCGTCACGCTTGTCCCGCTCTGGGATGTTAGGAACCCATGTGTTGTCACGCTAGTCCTACTCTGGGGCGTCAGAAACTCATGTGTTTTCACGCTTGCCCCGCTCTGGGGCGTTAGGAACCCAGGCCATTTAACACTTGCCCCGCTCTGGAACGTTCGGAACCCATGTGTTTTCAAGCTTGTCTGGCCCTAGGGGGTCAGGAACCAACGTGCTTTCACGCTTGTCCCGCTTTGGGTCGGGAGCGGCCAAGAGGGGGTGTCCAAGAGGGGGGGGGTGCAAATCATGACCGGCGTAATGTGCGCGGCCCAGCGGGGGGGCCGGGAACGCAATGAAATAAGAAGAGGCGCCATGAAATCTGGGGAAATATCATGGCCCCCGCCATGATATCCCCCCCCCCCCCCGTCATGACCCCCCTCTTTGCCGCCTCCGATTAGGGAGTCGGGAACCCATGCTCTTTCATGTGTCCGGGCCACCCAGGGGGGTATATCGAACATGCGGTCGTCTGAGCCAACCCGGGCGCGGAGAGGCACAGCAGCAGGAACAAGCGTATGACTCGACACGGGATGCGTGATATTGGAATCGTTCCTCGGCGGCGACGATAGGGGCGGATAGCCCAGGGGCGGGCATTGCACGCATTCGCCGCGGAGCCTTTTCGAAAACGTAAGCCACTGGCGCACCTGAATACAGGTTTTACTCTCCCCTGGGCTATTCGCCCCTATCGTCGCCTCGGAGTTCTAATGCGGGACCTCATGGGGGCTCCTCAGCGCCTGGAACATCCAGGAAAATGTAAAAAACAACATTTTCATTATTGTCCACCTCTGGGGCGTTAGGAACTCACATGCTTTCACGCTTGTCCCGCTCGGGGGCGTTAGGAACCCACGTCTTTTCACGCTTGTCTCGCCCTGGGGCGTTAGGAACCCACGTGTTTTCACGCTTGTCCCGCTCCGGGGCTTTAGGAGCCCACGTGTTTTTTGCTGCTTGTCCCGCTCTGGGGCGTTCGGGGCCCATGGCTTTCTCGCTTGGCCCCAGCCCCCCCTCAAGTTCTGCGACACGAGCGTGGGGCTCGAGGCATCCTCGAGAAACCTGCGCGCAGGACACGCCATCCCCGAGCGGCCATGCTAAACGTCATCATCTGCAAATGCTGTGCAAAGCGCAAGGATTCCAAGACCTTGTGAGTTCTCTAGGACTCTGCGCAAAACGCTTTACACCCTCTCTCTCACAAAGGACAGCGGGGGTTTGCGGACCCCGGCGTTGTATATTTAGAGGGTCCGAAAGAGGGGGGGCACACTTTCCTCGAGCGGGTACGCGCGAAACGCATAATATAAAAAACAGCCTTGGATTTTATCAAGTTTTCATCGAGCGGGAATCTGCCAGTCCTACGCGAGCTTGGCACAAAGGATAGTTTACCATCTAAAAGAGAGCCATGGGCCGAAGCCCTTTCCTGGAAGAAGGTGGATTGCTCAGCAAAAATGACGCGGGAAATCTACATCAAAGAAACTTTGACAATAGGGCGTACATTTCCGCCACACTTGCGAAATCGTTCACAATACGGAGGATCAGAAATCAGGGCTCAGGAGGACGGTAAGGGGGGGGGCAATAAACCTCGGGGGAATCCAGGATTGCATGGAAGAAGGCCTTTAACGGGTCCTAAATGGTGCACGAAAGGCGTTCGTTTCTCCACCCCTCGTTTACTGAACCGTCGCCCATCTATAACGAGCACCCATCTACAACGAGCACCAGAATGAGCAAGAGAGTCGGACGGCGGTCGAGCAGCACAAACGAAAATCCAAACAGTCGACGATGCGATATTTTTGTATGATTCAATTTTCCTTTGAGATCTGCCCTTGCGGCCCATCGCCGGGCCCCGGGGCCATCAGAAACCAGGGAGGTGCCGCGCGGATTCAAATATCGGATCGTCGGATGTCGGGGCTTGGTGCGCGGCTTTCCAATCGCCGCACGCGGTGCGACAGCGGCGGCCCGCGCGTGCTCAGGCTTCGCGCCACTCGAAAGCCGCGCAACAAGAGGTCACCCCCGGTGACATCGATTTCCCCAGACCACCGCCGTCCATTCTGGACTGCGACTCAACATACTTGTTGCTTCAACCACCTCCGGCCTGCGAGTCGCAGCCACGGACCCAGACCGAAGGGGAACGAACGGAAGCCTCAGCTGGCCGCGCCTCGCCGCCTTCGCGGGCGGGCGCGTGCACGGCGACGGCGCTGCGCTGCCGAGAGGAGGAGGAGAAGGAGGAGGAGGAGGAGAAGGAGCAGAAGGAGGGGGACGGAGTGGGAAAGCGCCGCCCACGCAAAGGACCACTCACGCGCGCGCCCTCCTCCTCCTCCTCCTCCTCCTCCTCCTCCTCCTCCTCCTCCTCTTCCGTCCTCTTGTCCGAGATCGGAATATTCTTCCCTCGGTGGAGGCACCATCCCCCTCCTAAATTATCCTCCTCCTCCTCCTCCTCCTCCTCCTCCTCCAATCCGCGCCGCCGAGTCCTGGGGGCGGCGATCTCCGCCTGAGCGGTGGGGGCGGCCCCGCCGGTGTAGCGGCGGAGCAGCGCGAGGAGCTGGGCGTGGCCGGCCAGCAGCTCCTCGGCGGCCCGCACGTCCACGGCGGCCTGCGGGGGCGCGGCCCCCGGGGGCAGCCACGACCGCTCGGACTTCGGATCCGCTGCACAGCGGCGGATGCTCTGGCTCAACATGGTCGACATGCACCCCCGAATGATGCAACAGGGCAGGGCGTACATGTCCCCATCGGCACGCCAGAGGCAACGACGGCAAGCTGGGGCGGAGAGCGACATCCGAGGAGCTTGACACGTGGGGCTGGAAGTTCCGCCTCACCTTGCGAAATCGCCCGAAGCACGGCGGATCCGAAGTCAGTGCTGTGTGCCTCCCTTTGTGGTGCAGCATCTCCGGGGGGTCGGGTGAAGCCAAGAAGTCCCACGTAGTCCACTTTACTCGCACACCAGAGCCCCAACGGAGGGGGGGGGCAGAAAAGGCCAAGGCATTCTGAGAGCGGCCCCAAGAGGGCCAGAAGACGCCACTGGAGATGACCCAACAACATTTTCGCTACGCAACACACCCCAGGACAGGCGACAATCGGGAACAAGGCCGAACCAAACAACAACTCACGGACGCGCAGGGCAAATTTCGAAATGCACAAGAGACCCCTTCGGTGCACATCTTTACCGGGAAGGAGCGCTGCACACTCGAAGGTTGGATCAGGAGGCCGCGAAGGAAGGTGGAGGAAGGAGCACAGTGCTCAGGAAGAGGGGGAGAGTAGAAAAGATGCGAGGAGGGAAGGGACGAGGCGAGGGACAAGGGAGGAGAAAGAGGAAGAAGAGGAGGGAAGAGAAAGGGAGGGCAGCAATAGAGGGAGCGACGAAGCGAGCAAGGAGAGATCGAGCGAGGCAGCGAGCGGGGGGCCAGGAGGGAGGAAGGAGGAAGGATACGTGGGGGGGCAAATGGAAAAGAGGACGGAGGAGGAGGAGGAGGAGGAGGAGGAGGAGGAGGAGGAGGTGAGCAGTGAGGGGGGAATTCGGGCTAGGTGCCGTATCCTCGTCCAGGAGCAGGGGGGTGCAAGAGGCGTACGAGGAAGAGAACGCATGAGAGGAGGAGCAGGAGGGGAAGGAGGATGGCAAGCGGAGTCTCAAGGGCACCCCCCGCTTACCCGACACCGCAGCATCGCTGCCCTGGTACCTTCAGCACCTTCAGTACCTTCAGCTGCCGCCCGCGCAGTTGTTCGACCCTCCGCCCTACCTCCATCAGTAGACGAGCGCGTCCCACTGCTCGCAAGGTAGCTGCTCGCAAACGGCCTGGATTCGCCACAGGGGAGCTAGGACAACATTACACCAAAGCAGACGTGTGTCTTTGGGACGCTTGCGAGCAGGCACTCTGCGAGTAGTGGAACGCGCTCGGCGATTCCAGCAAGAGGAGTCTGATCATCTGTGGGTCGTAATTAATCTTAAGTCGGGCGTGTCCCCCTACAGGGGGGTTTTTCGACAAGTAAAAATATGCAAACATACACCAAAAATGGTCAAACATATTCGAAACTAGTCCCCAGACTATGTTTGACTATTTTTGAAGATTCCTCCTGTAGAGGGACAGGCCCGACTTAAAAGTAATCACATCCATCGCCCTCCCCTCGGACCTAGATCCGCATACTCCGCGCCACTGGGGGCTGCCCAACTCTTCAGTGCCTCGCCGCCTTCTCTTTCGCCACCGCCTGCCGCCGTCCTGTGCTCGCCCCTTCACCTGCGTCTGTATTTGGCTGTTACCGCACGAGGGCAACTGCCCCAGCGCAGGTGAAGGACGAGGAGGAATATGAGGATAAGAACAAAGGTGAGGAGGACGAACATTTGTCGTTGTTGAGCAGGGACCTACCGTCCTGGCATTCCTATAGTCCTACCACGAAATGTTCTTAGAACCCGAAAGTGTTCGAAGGGCAAAACAATGTTCTTATAACATAAACCACATGTCATAAAACAAGACAGACTCCGCCAGAAATGTTCTAAGAACAGTTCGTGGGAACCACAAAAGGTTCTTAGAACATTGTTTGGTCGGGCTATAGGCGAGCCAAGACGCTTCGCCACTGCTTGATGTTTTTACCCCAGGCGTCCGCGATGCAGCGGGGCACGCCGCTGACCGCGAGCGCGCGGCGCTTGCCCGGTGTGTCAGCCCTCCACGCCTGGGAAGCAGAGCGCGGAGGCCGCGCTGGCCATGCCGGTGCTGCTGGCGTTCAGCCCGTCCCATATCGTGTAGCCGCACGCGAAGTTCGGGCGCGGCCTGACCGACCCCTAGCAAACAATCCCTGTCCGTGGCGTCATCCTCGCCGTTCAAGCTTCCCTCCGGCCGCGCGAGGCGAAGGGACGTCACGTAAGCGGATGGTTTGCCAGGGGTCGGTTAGGCCGCCCCCGAGAAGTCCGGCTCAGTATCCAGAACGCCCAGGTGGCCGAACATGCACCCCTGCACCACGATGCCCAGCACATCCGCGATGATTATGCCGAGGGAGTCACCCAGCGAGGCCGAGGTGAGCGCGAGCTCGGTGTAGTGCGGGTCCTGCTCCTGGGAGATCAGGCAGAAGGCGCCGACGTAGACTCCGCCACCCATCAGCCCCACGAAGAGGGCGGGGGCAAGCAGCCACCAGTCGCCGAACTCGGTGGCCGCGACCCACCAGAAGAACATGAGCATGGCCACCTGCAGGCCCGCACCCGTCCACAAGACGGCACGGCTCCTGCAGACCAACACGAACGTGGATCGCGAGATGAACACCCCCACCTGGTATGTGAAGTTCGCCCACTTGTACCAGCTGTGCCTCGACGTGCTGTCGGTGACTGGGAACCCCATAGCTGCCCAGAAGCCCGCCTGAATGGTGTACTCAGCAGCGTACACCAAGATCAAAGGCACCATGTAAGGCCAGAGCGTAAGGATGAACCGAAAGCGCTCCCAGCTGGAAAGAGACTCAGTAATGGGCCGATCGCCTTTATGCTGAGCTGCAATCGACCTGGCCTCACGTACCTCGGACTCCTCATCTGAGTCTGACGAGGAGCTTCCCGAGCTGCTATCTCCGTCATCGCCTCCCGTGGATGGCACCGCGACGTTGTTGTCCCTGACGGTGTCGATCCACGGAGGCTCGAGGAGGAAATGGAAAGTGGCAAGCCAGACGAAAGGGATCCAGAGTCCGCTCATGAGTTGCACTTGGAAACACGCGCCGATGGCATCGAAGATAATCGCCCAGAGGTATCCGCCGATCCCCGCGAAGCCTGTGCCGCTCGACCAGGCCGTCAGGGCCATCTTCTGGTCGTAGAAGGCCGCCATGCCGAGCATGCTGGCCTCTCCGATGCCAGCGTACAATGAGGCGAAGCAAACGCCCACGAGCTTCACGTAGCTCGAGGTGCCCCACGCGACGATCATCAGGCACAGCACCATCATGACAGAGCAGAGCCAGATGCGGACCCTGTAGCTGACATGATGGAACCAATAAGGGCCAGTAACCTTCACCAAGAGGCTTGGTAATACATTCGCCAGGTACACGAGACCGATGCCGGCCTCATTGATATTGTTAGCGCCCGCGTTCATGACTACATACAAAAAATTGTTCAATAGACCCAAGATCCAGAAAGAAGCCGCGTTCCTGAATTTGCTGGAATCCTTCACCATGGGCGAGGACAGATGGCGGTTGCCAGCGGAATGTCTGAATCTTGAGCCGAAATCACTACGGACAATGAGGGCGACGAGGAGCAGGAAGAGACGGAAAAAGGAGAAGAAATATAAATATGAGCATGACGATAAGGACCAGGAAACAAGGATGTTCACCTGGTATTACTTCTCATCTTCTCCCCGCCCTGCCCCTCCGCTCGCTACACCTCCGAATGTCTCCTCCTCTTCCACCTCCCGGAAACCTTTCTGAGACATAAATGACAATCCCGAGACCTTGGCCCTTCGTACCCCTCCTTGTCACTCACCCTCCTCATCCTCCCCCTCGTTCCCTTACCCCCCTCAATCTCCTCCCTCCCCGTGCTCCTCCCCCTTCTCTCCTCCCCTGAAATCAAAATTCAGGACCGGAGTCCTGGACCCCATCTTTCTGATGACTTTTTTTCGAGCTGGATCGATGGTCCCGGGACCAGATTCTAAGTGAAAAGCCTGGTGCGAAACGTACCCCAGCAGAGCAACCCAATAGCAGCACAGGTGAAGAGGCGGGTCGAGGAGTTAGAGGTCGGCAAGAAGGGGACGCAAAAAAGAAAGCCCGGCCATGCGCACCGCAGTGTACGTTTTACCAAGGATGTTGGATCCCAGACCTCACCTCCTTCTCCTCCTCTTCCTCTTCCTCCTCCCTTTTGGCGTCCAGGAATGGTGCGGTGACAGACCGTGCGGTGACCTCGAAATCCCCCATGGCAAGACCTCACCGCACGATCCGTCAACGCACGGTCTTGGGACCTCGGATGCCCCAGTCGCCGAGGCGTCCTCGGAGAACGACCCGAGCCCAAAACCATGCGGTGACCCCGAATCCCCACCGAGTCACCACACGGTGTGGTCACCACCCCGTTCGGGGGGCGTGCCCAAAGATCCGATGTTGTGATTTGTTCAATACGGGGTCCCCGGGGTCCCCGGAAGTCTCGACCCATTCCCCAAGACCGGCTCCTCCTCCCGAGTCGTTTTGTTCATGGTCCCGGGGCCCGACGAGGGCCCCCCGAGGCCGAAGGATACGAAAAACCGCCGTTATGGTCTGTTCAATACTTTTCTCATCACTCCTCCTCTAGAGGCCTCCCAAATTGGGTCCGAAGAGATGGGGTCGGGGGATCTCGCCGCATCGCCGATACATCAGCATTGCGTTGGCGATGCACTGGCGACGTCGGCGGTGCATCGGCGACGCCAGCGTGGAGAAAGCCGCGTCGCCGATGCATCGCCGATGCATCGCCGATGCATCGGCGATGCATCGGCGATGCGGCGCGATCCCGCGACCCCATCTACTCCGACCCCATCTAGGAGGCCTAGATCCTCTCCTCCTCTTTCCTTCCCCAGGGAGATTGCTCGGGATCGCCCAGCCCGGGCCGCCAGGGCCTCCGAGAGTACCGACAGCAGCCGCAGGTACCGGGCGCGGTCCAGCGCCTGCCTCGCAGCGGGAGCGGGCTCCTCATCCTCCCTCCTCCTCCTCCTCCTCCTCCTCCTCCTCCCTCCTCCTCCTCCTCCTCCCTCCTCCTCCTCTCCCCTCCTCCTCCTCCTCTCCTCCTCCTCCTCCTCCTCCTCCTTCCCCTTTTCCTCCTCCTGCTCCTCGTCCTCCATCCTCCTCCTCCTCCTCCTCCTCCTCCTCCTCCTCCTCCGCCTCCTGCTCCTCCTTCTCCTCTCCGTAGCCATTGGCTCAAGCACATGTGGCTCGAGGTTCCTCCGTACCCATTTGGGCTCCAGGCAATCTCGAAGTCACGTTCCACGCCGTCACAGGGCGCTTGGGGGACGCCCAGGCAGCTGCGCGTCGAGTGCAGATCTTCTGGGCGACGAAGTGGGACACATCGTATGGGCAGCTCGCACTCTCAGCCACTCTCTTCGGGTCACGCCTTCGACCTGGGCATGGTCCGCTCCAACGTCGTGGTCGCGCCGTGTTTTTGTGCGTGGCCCGTCGGCGCGTTTTCCGCTCCAGTGTCGCAATGGGCCCACGCACCAATGGCTGGGCAGTGGCCGCCAGCACGGACCATCGGTGCGTTCTCAGGTTCAGTGCCCCAATGGGCCAGTGCATCGAGGGCTGAGCAGTGGCCGCGGGCTTTGGCCGCAGCGTCAGGGCAGTGGCGGCTGGGGCAGTCATCGAGGAAGTCAGTGTGGGAGGAGATATTCGAGCCGATCGTCATCAGCTCCGATGCTTGGCCCAGCACGTGCGAGAAGGGTGAGCAATGGCAGCTATTGCAGTCGGTGCGACAACATACCCCAGAATGATAACAACATGCCCAAGAAATCGTCCCCAGACTATTGTGTGACTGTTTTTGAATATTCCTCCTGTAGAGGGACGGGCCCGACTTAAATCGAGTGCCCGTGCTGCACGCTGCCAGGTTCTTGAGCATCATGTCGCAACACCTGCGTCAGACTCGCGCGAGGAGCCCCACGCCGTGAGACAAAAAACGGGGCGCACCCCACGCAGCCCATCGGTGCGCGCGGCGTGGGGCGGCGCGACGGAGTTTCTGTTGCCCGACTGCACGCCCAGGGGTACCGAGTGATTGTGCAGATCCGCCCCCCCTTCTTCCCCCCCCCCCCTGTAATGCTCTCACTGCCATCCCTCTCTGTGGGAGGGGAGAGGGTGGGAGGAACGGGGTAGGCCTGCATGGCTGTCTCCCTCCGGATGACGAGTGCAGTCGCCCCCAGGCGGCGCGGCAGTCCAGCGCATGCCGGAGAACTGCAACCAGCGGTCTGGCAGCGACCCCGCGAAATTTCGATCTGGACGCGCTCCGAACACCTCCAGCACCCTGACCACGCCAAAGGGCCTGGCAAGGTGCTCGCGGATCACGCCGCGACCTTCGTCGAGACTTTGGTTCACGGGCAAACGGGCGTCGAGGCCTGCTGTGGGTGGGATCCACCCCATGCCACGCGCTTGCTGGTCCTCAAATTCCTCCTCCTCCTCCCATCCCCTGTCCCCCCCGCCTCCCCCGCCTTGCGAGGTCCAGCCGTGACCACGGTGAGCCCACCAGAGGCCCAGAGGCCCAGAAAAAAACTGACAAAAACATATCTCCCGCAAAAAAAAGCTCGGACCTCGAGCCTCGAACCACGATCGACGACGACTACGACGACGACGGCGCCGCCGAAGACCACGACCATGACCACGACCACCACGGCCGCAACGAAAGCGACGAATAAAAATTCTGCAAACATCCGCATCCAATGCGTTGATCTTTCAAGAAAGCACGCCGAACATGACGGAAATTTCCCAAATGCCAGCTCTTCATCCGAGTCGTTTGTTGACGGCGCCTGCCAAAAAGCCAGCCCATGTAAAGTCGAAAGCGGCAAGCCCAAAGGAAACAACGACGACGACGAGGACGACGACGACGACGACGTCGACGCGAAGCCGACGCCGACGCCGCCGCCGACGCCGACGCCGACGACGACGTCGACGGCAGCCAAGGCCGTGACGACGGCCTCGCCTGGCGGCAGCCAGCAGCGCCTGCGCGTCACCCTGGCCGGCCGCCTCGCCGGCCGCCTCGCCGCCAACAAGGCCCGTCTCGCCGAGGGCGCCGGCGTCGTCCAGGCCGCCCAGGTCATCGTCGTCGGCCTCGGCCTTGTCGCCGTCGTCGTCGCAGTTGTCGTCGTCGCCGCGGCCGCCGTCGTCGTCGTCGTGGTCGTCGTCGTCCTCGGCGCCGGCGTCGGCGTCAGAGTCTTCGTCGGTGTCGGCATGGGCGTCGGCGTCGGCATCGGCGTCGCCGTGACCGCCGTCGTCGTCGTCTTCGTCGTCGTCGTCCTCCTCCTCGTCCTCCTCCTCCTCCTCCTCCTCCTCCTCCTCCTATTCCTCCTCATCCACGACGTCGTCGTCGTCCTTTTCCTCGTCGTCGTCGTCGTGCTCGTCGTAGTCCCCGTCCTCGTCGTCAGCAGAATTCTCGTCGTCGTCGTCTCGGCTCGTCTTCGTCCTCGTCCTCGTTATCGTCCTCGTTGTTGCCGTCGTCGTCGTCGTCGCCGTCGTCGTCGTCGTCGTCGTCGTCGTCGTCGTCGTCGTCGTAGACGGCGTCGGCGTCGGCGTCGACGTCGGCGTCGGCGTCGGCGTTGTCTTCGTCGTCGTTGTCTTCGTCGTCGTTGTCGTCGGGGTCGTCGTCGTCGCCGTCGTCTGCGTTGTCGTCGTTGTCGTCGTCGTCGTCGTCGTCGCCCTCGTCGTCGTCGTCGTCCTCGTCGTCGTCCTCGTCGTCGTCGGCCGAGTCGTCGTCGTCGTCGTCGTTGTGATCGGCCTCGTCCTTGTCATCGTTTTCGTCCTCGTTCTCGTCGCAGCCGTCGCCGCCGCCGCCGCCGCCGCCGTCGTCGTCGTCGTCGTCGTCGTCGTCGTCGTGGTTGTCGTCGTCGTCGGCGTCTTCCTGCTCCCCTCCATACAGTTCCGCTCCTTCACCGTCTTCTTGAAGGATTTCTTTCCCCGGGATGCATCCCAGCAGCTGCGCTTCGCCGAAAGCACTCAGGGAGCTCCAAGTCGTCCCCGACGGCCGCCAGAAACGCGAATTATGACCCGAAAATCACAATGTATGCCCAGACTTCCTGTCGTCATAAAAAAATCTCGGAGGGCGGTTGTTGGACAACTGTCGGCCTCCAGGGGCCCTCATCGGGCCCAGAGGCCGTCAGAAGACGGCCTGGGATGAACAACAAAATCCGGGGGAAGGCCTTTTGACTTCTGGGGGCCCACGCCGTGCAGAAATCAAGACGTCGGAGATCGGAGTCGGCCGCGCCCTCCTCATTCCTCCTCCCTCATCCACTTCTCTTCCTCCTCCTTTTCCTCCTCTTCTCCTCCTCCACTCCTCCTCCTCGTCCTCCTCCCCCTCCTCCTCCTCCGACTCCTCCTCCCACCTCCCTCCTCCCTCCTCCTCCCTCCGCCCTCCTCGTCCCCCCTCCCCTCCAACGACAATGTTTTCCCCACACATGCAAACCCATCTCCCTGGACGAGTTCTGCACGCCGGACTTTTTTTTGACGGTTCCAGGGCCACGCGAGCCCCGCAGTCCAAAGACGACTAAAAACCTGCCGCTGTGATTCGTTGTCGCGACGCGACTGATCTGGACCCTTCGCCTCCTACTGGGGGGCTGGAATCGGCGATACATATCCGATACATCGCCAGTAGACCCCCGATGGCACATGTAGCGCCGAAGTTCTTACTCATACAATGCGAAATGGCCCGTGGGAGCCTGCAGGCCCTAAGCTGATAGGAACCTCTTTTCCCTGGAAGCTGATTGGGCTTGAACTACATGCGCGATGCCGAATGGTGTCGTTTGTGCCTGCCTGACCGCCTGTTCCACAAACATATGTTCCCAACCCGATCGGATCGCAAGCAACTAACACCCCCTGCCCCCTGTGGCTGAAACGCCGAATGTGGCGACGGGCAAAATATAAGCAACAGAAGTCGCGAAGCAAGGGGGATCCCGAAACACATGGACAGCGCACAGAAGCCATAATCCCACCCAAGCAAGCCAAGTAGTGGAATGCAACCATTTAGTGCACAAATGAGACATCCGTAGCCGGCTATGATGTAGGTGTAGATGTGCACGGAGCTTCATCCCACGTGATGCACTACTTTCAGGCGTCACTAGACACCGAGTCGCTCAGCATGTTTGACATCTACATTTGAAATTACATAGACGAGCGCGAAGATCTCAACATATCATGTCTCAAGAGGTCATAGCCCACATGTGTCACACGTTTCCTGGCCATCCCCTGCTCGCAATGGCAATGGCTGCATTTAAATCGCATTGTAAGGATCAGCCACAATCGACCCGAAGTCTTTGCACACTGTTTGCAATCCTGACGCTGCTGGGGCGCCGTTCGCAATTCCGTAATACTCTGCCACTCAACATGGCACTGCCACCACACCCTGCCTTGAACCCCGGGGCTTGTCGATGCTCGTGCCTCCTTGCATCCGGGATAGTCGGCGCCCGCCCAAGCAGTTCCCGCGACGTTCTGGACACAAGCACTATTGCCAACATCTGTTGCGATGTTGCGATTATTGAGCTACTTGGCCAAATTGGAAAACCTCCCCATCATCTCCATATGAAAACTGGCATGGGGCGTGCCAGATGCAAAGCTGGAACCTGTACGTCAATGCGGCATTACGTCAAATTCTTTGCCTTTGCAGGGAAAACCTGGTAGTTCGTTATACTTTTCAGAACTTGGCAATGGTTCCTCGAGCTCTTCATCGCAAGGTACCTGGTCGCCTGGCATCTCAAATGCGCCGACCCCTTGTGGGTCTCTAGGCGCGTGCGATAGTTCCCCCCCATACCCCCCCCCCAGGGACCCTAAACCGGAGATTCGACCCCCCCCTGGCCCCGGGGCACCCAGGGCCGAACGCGCCATGGGGGAGCAAAAGGTCCCAAAACGGGCCAAAAGCGCAAACACAGGCCCACGCGACGGCCCAAGAAGGCCCCAAGAGGCCTCCAAGACGGCGCACGAGGGCCCCGAGACGCCAAACGAGCGCTCCAAGATGCCCAAGATGGCCCAAAGACGGGTTAAGAGGCCTCCTAGACGGCCACCAAGTCCCCACGAGGCCCCACAAGGCCTCCATGATGGGTCCCAAGAGGGTCCCTAGACGCAAAAATTTGCCCATTCCCTTCGTAAAACGTACATGTTTCAAAAATTCGCCTTCTGGGCTTTCCGATGCTCCCAGACGGCCCAAGAGGCTCCCAAGACCGCCCCAAGACGGTCCAAGAAGCCTCCAAGAGGGCCCCAAGATGGCCCAAGAGGGCCCCAAGACGGCCCAACAGGCGTCCAAGACGGCCCAAAAGGGCCCCGAAGACGGCCCCAAGAGCGCTCCAGGAGCGCTCCAAGTGGCCTCCAAGAGAGCTCAATATGGTCCCAGACGGTCCAAGAGCGATCAAAGACACCGAAGATGGCCCCCAGACGGCCCAAGATGCCACGAAGAAGCCCCAAGAGGCATCCAAGAGGCGCCCCAAGAGGGCCTTTAGACGCAAAAAGTTGGCCCGTTCCCTTAGTAAAACGTACATGCTTCACAAATTCGCCTTTTGGACTTTCCGACGCTCCCAGACGGCCCAAGAGGCCCCCAAGACCACACCGAGACGGTCCAAGAAGCCTCCAAGAGGGCCCCAATACAGCGCAAGAGGGCGCCAAGACGGCTCAAGAGGCGCCGAAGACGGCCCAAGAGAGCCCCGAAGACGGCCCCAAGAGCGCTCCAGGAGCGCTCCAAGTGGCTTCCAAGAGAGCTCAACATGGTCCCACACGGTCCAAAAGCGATCGAAGACACCCGAGATGGCCTCCAGCTGGCCCAAGACGCCCCCAAGGGGCCTCCAAGATGCGTCCCAAGAGGGTCCCTAGACGCCAAAAAATGCTCATTTCCTTCGTAAAACGTATAGTTTTCACAAATTCGCCTCGTGGGCTTTCCGACGCTCCAAGACGGCCCAAGAGGCCCCAAAGACCGCCCCAAGACGGCCCAAGGGGCCCCCAAGATGGCCCCACGACGGCCCAAGATGGCCCCAAGACGGCCCAAGAGGTCCCCAAGACGGCCCAAGAAGGCCCCAAGACGGCACCAAGAGGGGCCCAAGAGGGCAACCAAAAATTCAAAAATCTAGGTTTCCGCCCCCACGAGCCCCAGGGGGCCCCAAGAGTGCCCCAAGAGGCCGCCGGAGGCCCCCAAGAGGCCGCCAGGACGCCCCAAGGAGCCCCCAAGAGGCCCCCAGGAGGCCCCCAAAAGACTCCCAGACGCTTCCGTATTGCGAGCCGCCAAGCCAACTGCAATGCACTCCGCGCATGCAGCCTTACTCTTGCTCGCGACACGCTCGCTCGCTATCTTGCTCGGCGCTCATGTGCTGCTGCCGCGCGAACTGTTTCGCGCGCGCTGCGAACGTCAACGGCCTCTTCACCCGCGTCGACTCATCTGCCACATCTTTCGCGGTGATGCCTCGCTGATCACAACTTCCGCGCGCTACTCTTGCTCCTTTCGTCTTCCGGTGGCCCTCCACTTGGTTGCGGGTCGAAAGGCCGACCTCCCAGAAGGACGCCCCGCACCCGGGTGCACAGCGCGCAAGGCGCTCGCAAAACACGCCCCAGACCACAGGCACCACGCAAACATTTGGACCCCCTACGTATCTGCCACCACCCGCGCGCGACACCGCACCCTCACACAAGACGCCGCTGGCCAGAAACTCCTGGCCTCGCAACACTCACAGAAGGGGTCGGCAGACGCGGCGTAAGCCTGTAGAATCTCTCTCTGGACTGCTCCAGGCCAAACTCTGTGACAAAAATATCCGCATGCCTTCAGTCCGTTGAAAACTAGAAAACATCCCGGCTTCAGTGCGCAATCCCATTCAGTATCCGGAGGGCCTGTTGTGACGCCTCATTCTGAACAGTCAAGGTCCACACCGTTGGTTTATAATGAAAATCCAGCGCAGCGAACCGTTCGCCAGAATCGCCTTGCCTTGCGCAGGAACGCGCATGGCGTCGCTTCCCCAATGTCAAACCAAAAACGCGGGCATATTCCATGTCGTGATATTCCCTTTTTCTGGCGCCCATGGTGCTGCGCGTCGACAATGGCAAACTTCCAAGCATATTTCGCGCGATCTTCTCCGGGCAACCCGATGGCGAAG